GGCCCCTGGCGTGCAGCTGGGATAGGTCATCCTCGTTGCACGGCTCGCCACTCTCGCAGATGTAAGGCTGTTGCTGCTGGGACCCGTCTTGCTGCGCAACGTCGCGATGCTCGATCCCGTCGCACTGCCCAGCGTCGAGGCGCTGGTCCCCGACGCGTTGCTCGAAGACGCGGCGTTCGTTGCGCTGCTCGTCTCCATCCTAAATTCGAAGCCGTCGGTGCTGGGCCCCGACGCACTGCTCGACGCCACGGCGCTCAACTCCGCGGCGCTGCTCAGAGTCGGGGTGCCGGTCGCGGCCGCGCTGCTGCAAGACGCGGTGCTCGACGCACTGCTCGTCTCACTCCTGGGCGCGAGGCTGCTAGGGATGGGCCCCGTCATGCTGCCCAACGTCGCAGCGTTCGATTCCGTCGCGCTGCAAGGCGCCGCGGAGCGGGTCCCTGACGCGCTGCCCAGAGAAGCGATGGTCGCTGCACTGCCCGTCTCACTCGCGGATTGGATGCCGCTGGTGGTCGGCCCCACCTTGGCGCGCAGCATCGAGATGCTGGATCCCGTCGCGCTGATCACCGTCGAAGTGCTATTCCCGGACGTGCAGGTTAAGGCCGCGGCACTCGTTGAACTGCGCGTCTCACTCATGCGCGCGAAGCTGTCGATGCCGAATCCCGTCGTACTGCTGAAAGTCGCGGTGCTCCACTTCGTCGCATTGCTCAGCGCCGAAGTGCTGGTCAGAGACGCGCTGCTGGAAGAAGTGGTGGTCGACGCACTGCGCGTCTCGCTCGTAGGTGCGAGGCTACTGGGGCTTGATCCCGCCGTGCTGCTCGCAGTCGCGATACTCGGTTTCGGAGGGGTGTCGCGCCGGTCCTGGATGCGCCGTTTAAAGACGTGCTGCTCGTTGCACTGTTCGCCCCTCTCATAAATGCGAAGGTGCTGGTGCTGGATCTCGTCTCGACGCGCAACGTCGCGATGCTCGGTCCAGTCCTACTTACTGATCAGCGTCGAGGTGCTGGTCCGTGACGTGCTGCTTGACGACGCGGCGATGATTGCGCGCTTCGTCTCGCTCGTGGACATTGGTGCCGGGGCCCGTCGCGCTGCTCAGCGTCGCGGTGCTCAACGCCGTCGCGCTGCTCAGTGTCGGAGTATTGGTCGCAGGCGTGCTGCTGAAAAAAGGGACGTTCAATGCGCTTTCGTCTCGCTCGTTGGCGCGGGGCTGCTGGGGCTGGATCCCGTTGTGCTGATCGACGTCATAGCGCTCGCTGTCGGAGCGCCACGCAGTGTCGAAATGGCCCCGCCCGCGCTGCTCGAAGGCGCGACGCTCGAAACAATGCTCGTCTCGCTCGTGGATGCGAGGCTGCCGGCGCAGGGCCCCGTCTCGATGCGCGCCGCCGTGACGCCTGGCCCCGCATTGCAGCTCCGCGCCGAGGTGGTGCCCCTGACGCGCTGCTGAGCGACGTGGTGGTCGTTGCGCTGCGCGTCTCATTCGTTAAAAGAGACTTGCGTCGCTGGATCCCGTCGCGCTGCTCGACGACGCGGCCCTCGACTCCGCTGCGTTGCTCGTCGTCGAGGTGCCAGTGGCGGACGCGCTGCTGACAGACGCGGCGTTCGGCGCGCCGCTCGTCTCACTCGTCGGCGCGGGGCTGCTGGCGCTGGATCCCGTCGTTCTGCCCCTCGCGGCGGCGCCCGCGTCCGTCGCGCCGCGCGGCGTCGCGGAGCTGGCCCCAGACGAGCTGCTGAAAGACGCGATGCTCGTTGCACTGATTGCCCCCCTGTCGGTCGCGACGCTGCTGGCGTTGGACCCCGTCGCGTTGCTCAACGCTGTGGCGCTCGACTCCGTCGCGACGCTCGCTGTCGAGGCGCGGGCCCCAGGCGCGCTGCTCAGGGGCGTGCTCTTGGCGCTGCTCGCCTCGCTGGCGGGCGCGGAATTGCCGGCGCTGGATCCCGTCGCGCTGCTCTGCGCCGCGGCGCTCGACTCCATGGCGCTGCTCAGCGCCGAGGAGCGGGTCGCGCGCGCCGCGCAAAGACTCGGCGCTCAACGCGCGAGGCAGCTGGCGCCCGCGCCCGCGAGCCCCTGCGGACCAGCCGCGACCGCGAGGGCCGCGGGGGCAAGGCGCGCGCTCGCCCTGATCAGGTTTCTGAAATGGCGGACAGGAACGGAGCTCCGCGGCGCGCAGCCCAATGGGTTTAGCAAAAGCACGAGCAAAGGCAAGCTAAAAAACGTCGAGCACCCCGCAGCGGCCGAGGGGCATGAACTGCGCTGCATAACGCCCCGGTCGCAGCTGCGCAGCAAGGAAGAATCGGGCGCGAAAGAATGGCGGATCCCGCCCGCGCAGGCGCTGCCCCCGCTGGCGGACGCGGCATCGGCATCCTTCGCCGATCCTTTTCTGGTCGAGAGCTGGAAGGGGATCGCGCCGACGGCCTCGCGCGGGGCCCCCTCAGCGCCGCCCCCCTGGGATGCTGGGGAGAGGTCGACAAACCAAAGGGCGCGGCCCGCGTCGGCGTTGAAGGCGGTCAATGATCGCCCGAGAAAGCTTGCGAAGGCGCCCCCGCAGCTGCGGGCCGAGCCTCGGGGCGAGCGCAAGCCTCGTCCGCGCCGCAGTCGCTGGCGCAGCGGCTGGCATCGGCGATGCGAGCGCAGGCGCCAGCGCGGGCTTCCACGCGTGCGCGGGCGGGCCAGTGGCCCAGCCGCGGGCTCTGGTCGGCGGGGCTGGCGCCTCCGCTGGCCCGCGCGCCGACGCCGGCACCGCGTCGCCCCCCGCCCGCGCGGCCTTCGCGGAAGGGGGTCGGCCGCCGATGGGGAGGGGCAAACAAAGGGGAAGGATGGCAACGTTGCCGCTGGTCAGCAGGACCGCCCAAAGCTAGTTCTGCCCCCCCGCCCCATCCGCGCGTCCGACGACGGCGCCGCGCGGGCCGCCGTGTCGTTCTTCACTTGGCTAGCGACCGCTACTTTTGTTGTGCCTCCTTGGATTGGCGGAAGCGCGGGTGGGGGGGGCGGGGCCAGCGACGCCGGGCAGCTCGTCGGCCCTGGCGGGCCGCGCGCCTGCCCCCGCAGGCCCCGGCTCGATCCCGGGGGCGGGCGACTGGGCCCCAGCGCCGCCGGGCGCACTGTTCGGCGGGCCCACCTGGTCTCAGGAGCCCCATTTGTCATCCTAGTCGCCAGCTCGCGCGACGGCTGTCGTGGAGGCCGATGACGTCTCAACTGGTGGCGCTGACGCCAACGTTTGCCGCGCCGCGGGCGTCGCCGCGGGCGACCTCCTGGGCGACTGCCGACGCCCCGCGCGCGGAGACGGCGGGCCCCGCCCGTGTCGGGCTCGCCGCGGACTCCGGCGCCGCCAGCGGCCCGCGCAGGAGAGCCGCGCTGGCAGTCAAAAGCGAGGGCGAACCCACCAGCGCGGGCCAGGGGCAGGCGGGGGCGATGGGCGCCCGCTGGGCACAGCGCGGGCGAGGCCGTGAGGCTCGGGCCAGCAGTGGGCGAGCTGGCGCTGGACCGCCGGATGCTCCGGCACATAGCGGGGCCCGACCGCGCGGGCGTTGGCACCGGGCGGGAGGCGGCATCAAGGAGGGCGTGCCCGTGGAGGTTGGCGCTGGCCGCAGCGACGGAGTCCAGGGTAGTGGCTTAGCGGCGGCCAGCGCGGCGATCGCTCCCACCGTGGCAAGTGCTGGGGGGGCGACGGCGGAGTTCCAAGGATCGTCGGTCGGTGCTTTGGCCCTGGCGGGCTCCTGTGCGACCGTGTCCTCGGCGGAGCGCCACTTTCGTGTCCGAGGAAGATGTCGTCTAAGGCGGGACAGAAGCCTTTCGCGGCGATGGGGTCGCACAGATCTCTCACTGCTACTCCGGCTGGCTCGTGCGCGGCCCAGGTCTGCCCGTGCTCGTGCCCGCTTTTCACGTCCTTGGCGAGATCCTTGTATATGTGAATGAACATACCGCACTCGGCGTCAGCGATCGCTGAGGGCACAGAACTCTCTGAACCTCTGACCCTATATGTACCCTCGAACTGGCATTTGTTATGTAGTGGCGTGGTGGCAGGGGACGTGGTGATGATGCCACTGGCATGAGAGGCTCCAGCGTCGTCCCTGGTAGGCACCGCAGAGGAAACATCAAAACTGGTAGGTGAATGAATGACGGTGTCCTGGCGGGCATCGGCTGGGGCCGCGAACCCTCGTGGGTCGCGACTGGGGCCTCCGCTGTGGCCGCCGAGAAAAGCAGCGCAGGCCTCCTGTCGCGCGAGCAGGTTCTCGGGATGGAAAGCTTGGCGGCCCTTGCACACGCCTAGGTGGTTGGCGCCGCTGTGTCCGAAGGCGGTCGCGGCACGGGGAGCTCAGAGATGAATCCCTGCCTCAACCGTGCGTTGACGGATGCTGCTGGTGTGTGAGATCCTGTAAGCGGCCCTGGTGAGCGGAGGCGCCGCATCGCATTCTGGTGCGTCGACACTGCTGAGAGGGGCTTTGCCGTTATCCTCCTGGGGAACGGCCAGGGCCATGAAACCTGGTGGGTAACGACCGGTGCCCGTACTGTGTGAGGGCGAAATGCAGCATGTTGTTGCCGATCTTGAATGTGTTGCATAATTTCTTCAGCTCGCTCTTGAAACGGGGCTGGTTGGAGCGGTGTTGTGGATAGACAGCATCGAGATCGGTTGGGTGCTTTTGGACAAGGCTGCAGCAAACCTGTCTGCTCCGCCACCACCTCGGAAAGCAGCGGTGCAAGCCTCCCATCGTGGGGGACGGCTCTCTGGACATGAGGCTTGGTGGTCCTAAGCTGATGGTTTGGGCTGCGGTAGTTCATGGCGCACACGGCGAGGGCCTTCTGGAGCCATTGCGGCGCGCACGGGATGTGGAAGCGAGCCGTGACCAGAGAGGAACGGAGAGGGCGGGAGGGAGGAGACAGGGATAAGGCAGAGGGGGGCGGAAGGAGACAGGAGGGGAAGCATGGAGGAGGAGGAGGAGGAGGAGGGGGAGGAGGAGGAGGAGGGGAGGAGGAGGAGGAGGAGGAGGAGACGGAGCTGGCGCTCCTCGTGTAGACCGTTCAGCACGTAGAGGAGGAACTCGCCGGCGTCCTGCTGCGCGCCCAGCTTCTGCCAGGAGGAGATGATGCTCTTCATCTGCGGGACGAGGAGCACGTTCAGCACCTCGCCATGTGCTTCCGGCTTGCGGATGCCAGGGGGCTGAGGCCATGCCTGCCCTCCCCAGCTGCCGGAGAGGAGCGGGGATCCAGGAAGGGGGCGGGAAGAGGAAGAGCGATGGGAACGGGATGGGAAGAGAGGCAGAGGCAGAGGAGGATGAGGATGATGATGATGATGATGATGATGAGGAGGAGGAGGAGGAGGAGGAGGAGGAGGCGATGGAGCAAGTGAGGGCCGGGTAGGTAGAGTGGTCTCAGCCCCCCGGATGTGAAACTCCCTGCAGAGGGATACAAAACACGATAAGAATGGACGACGGCGGTCTGCTGAGTCGCACCGTCGCAGCACCTAGGATAGCCTCGCTACACCCAATCAGCCATCCACCTTCTTCCCCGTCCCCATCTGGAGGAAACGGAGGAGGTCACGCGAGGGGCAGGATGTTGGGCGCAGTCGAAAGGAAGGAGGCAGGGAGGAGGGAGTGAACGGGGATGAGTGGGGTGGGGGGAGGAGGTACTTGACAAGCTAGGTGCGCTCGCGTCATATCTGACGCCCTACCCCTCCCTCCCATCCCTTACCATGGCGCTGATTTTCTCTATCCGCGGACGCGTGTCGTAGCGGATCTGTGGCTCCGCGCGCGCGTGCGTAGTGGGTGGTGGTGCACGTGCGTGCGTGCGTGCGTGTGTGCGTGGTTGTCGTGGTGGTGGTGGTGGTGGTGGTGGTGGTGGTGGTGGTGGTGGTGGTGGTGGTGGTGGTGGTGGTGGTGGTGGTGTGGTGGTGGTGTGGGTGGTGGTGGTGGTGGTGGTGGTGGTGGTGGTGGTGGGTGGTACTGGTGCTGGTGGTGGTGGTGGTGGTGGTGGTGGTGGTGGTGGTGGCGGTGCGGCGCGGTGGTGGCGGGCGGATGGGCGCGCGAGAGAAAAAGGCCCGCGCTGGGGCGAGAACGCCATCCTGAACGACGGAGGCCAAACACCGATCCGAAAATGAGGCCCACGCTGCAGCGGGAGCACGATTCGGAACGATTCGGGAGCAGAAATGAGGCCGGCGCCTCAACGAGAGCAGCATTTTGGGAAAAAATGACGCCGGCGCCTCAGCGAGAGTCGTTTCCCGGGATTTCCCGGGAATCCTGTGTAAAAAACAGTACGCGGAGGGTGCGCGGCCATCACCCGGACGCCATCAGGGGAAGAGGGAGAGTATTTTCATATTGAGTAATTGTTGAGGGGGGGCGAGCAGAAAGGCGAGGGGGGCGCAGGGAGCAGGGGGGGGGAGACTGGCTTGGTGGGTGTGGCGAGGGTCTCCGAGCACCCACATGAGGGCGCTGCACGGCAGCAGCGACTGCACCACGACGTTGACATCCGTCGGCCCGCCCCCCGTGGCCACCAGGCTGCTGGCCGAGCCGCTCCCTCGACAAACGCAACCAGCGGGGAGCACGCCCCTCTCTCCCTGGAGGAGGAGGAGGAGGAGGAGGAGGAGGAGGAGGAGGAGGAGGAGGAGGAGGAGGAGGAGGAGGAGGAGGAGGAGGAGGAGGAGGAGGAGGAGGAGGAGGAGGAGCGAGGAGGAGGAAGAGCCTGCCTGCCTTGAGACGAAGCCAGGACGGGGACAACATCGGACAGGGACAGATGGGAGATCTCTGAGGTCCGGCGGTCTCTGGAGGACGCTCCGGAGCGCCGCGGGCGTTCCAGAGCGCTCTGGAGCGCTCTGAGTGCGCTCCGAGACGCTCTGGGACGATTCATCCCTGTCCTGGCCCGATGCATGCCTGTATGCCTGCCTGCCTGCCTGCCTGCCTCCCTCCCTGTACCCACTCTCCACCTGGCCGGCTCCAAACCCCTCTCAGGGGAAGTTCCGCCGGCCTCCGCCAAAACCCCGACAACTCTCACGTGACCACCCTCGCTTCACGTTCGCAGGCTTCCGTGGATCTCACGGGAGTGGTCAAGCCGTCACTCCCCAGGAGAAGGGGCCACGTGGGGCCAGGAGGAAGCCCACCAGGGGCAACCCAACTTCTCGATCACCCCCCGATGGAGGGGGAAAAGGATAGGGGGCAAGGGGGGGGGAGAGGTGGAGCGAAGGGTGGTTGGGGGGGAGCTGGAGAGGGACTGGGAGCGGGAGGGAGTATGGCAAAGAAACGGTATTGCGGGGGGGGAGGAGTGGAGCAGTGCTGCGGGGAGGGGGGGTGGGGAGGTGGCAGGGAGCGGAGGCGGAGGACGGAAGGCCGGCGGTAGTAGTCGAAGACCGCTTGATAGCAGTTGTTGGCGTCGTTCCTCAGACCGAGCCGCGAGTGTCCGACCTTGGCAGAGTTGCTCACCTCGGACAGCTCCAGGCCCTGGTGGGAGGGGGCGTTTTTCAGGGGAATGGAACGGGGGGGGATGAGCAGCAGCATCGGGAGGAGAGGGGGGACTCTAGACCGGCACACCTCTGATAGGGTCGCGATCTATTGCTCAAGGGCAGCATGCATCATTCACACCCCAACGCGCAAGAATTCCGAGGATGAAAATCGATGTCCCTCGATAAATCCTCAAGTCTGAGTCGACAATCCTGCAGCAGAGTACGATTTCGACGCCGACGCCGTCGCTGGAACGTGGATGCCGATGCCGATGTCTGCCCCTGACGGCGACAACAGGACAACTCTGACTCGGGCATGGGAGGGGTAGGGCAGGGCAGGACAGGGAGGGCATACAGGTAGGCAGACAGTCAAGGGTACTCTCAACCTGGGTAGGGGGAAGAGGAGTAGAGCAGGCCATTGTAGGCAGTAGCGCCACCTCTAAGTCGATACCTATATCCTGCCAGGGTCCTCCTCCTCCTGCCGACACTTCTCCTCCCCCTTTTTCCCCGCATCCTCGTCGTCATCCTCCTCCTCCCCCCTCCCCCGACTCCGCCTCCCCATCCTTCACCTCGCTCTCCTCCACCCAGTCCTCCTCCACACACCGTGCTCGCTCTCCTCCCCCACCCCCGTACCTGTTCCTTGTGAATAGAACCTCGTTGCCGCGCCATTGGACGTGTCGGTCGCTTGAGATTTCCTCGCCACGCATGATCCTGCAGCTCGAAACATCCAACAGCTGCGCGTATGGATGGAGATGTGATTGTTTATCAAGATGTGTCTCGCACCTTCGCGCCACGTCCACTCGTCCTACAACCTCGCCGCGAGGACGCGGACGGAGTGCGGTTCTTCAGAGCGTGGCTCTGGCCTCTATAGCGCCGCGCACACACGCCTCTAAAAATCATGCAACGGTGGAGGGCGGCCTCCTCCCCTAAAACAGGGCTAGGATCGGGAAAGTGATCGTCCCTCTCCGAGCGAACACCCTGCGTGTTGGAAGTATTTGAAGCCCTCGCACGAGCAGCGTTTCGGTCGGCATCGATGGGTGACAGAGGTGGAACCGACCAGGCCCTCAAGCTCGCGACTCGTTGGCCCTCAAGGTGGAACCGACCAGGCCCTCAGGCCAGGGCTAGGATCGGGATAAATCGCTCCAGAGCGTTCCGGAGCGCTCTCGGAACGTTCCGGAACGCTCTGGAGCGGCCGCGGCGCCCAATTCATCCTCCAAACCCGCCGATTCTCAGAGGCTCCGGGTTATCCCGATCCGAGTTTGTCCCGATCTTCGCCTCGTTTTATCCCCCTCCCCCTCCCCCTCCAGGCCCCCGCCTCCCCCTCCAGGCCCCCTCCAGGGTGGGGTTCACTTCGTCTGGGAGCTCCCGAGCGAAGTGAACCCCACCCTCCCCCTCAGAAATCGTGGGGGGTAGGGGTAGGGTTCGCGTGTGGCCCCCTACTCTCCTCCCCTCCCCCTCCCCCTCCAGCCCCCGCCTCCCGCACGGCCCCCTCCAGGCCCCTCCCCTCCTCCTCCTCCCCTCCCCCTCCTCTTCCTCCTCCCCCTCCTCCTCCTCCTCCTCCTCCTCCTCCTCCTCCTCCTCCTCCTCCTCCTCCCCCTCCAGGCCCCCGCCTCCCGCACGGCCCCCCACCGCAGCCGCCCCCGGCCTCGAACTTCCGCAGCGGCTCGGGCAGCGCCGCGGCGGAGGCCCCGGCGCCTGCCTGCCTCTGGGCGAAGCGGTGCCCGCCCACCGGGCTCTCTCCCCGAGTGTCGCGGAGCTTGTGAGGGCGGGGAGCAGCAGGAGGAGGAGGAGGGAGGAGGAGGAGGAGGTGGTGTTGGTGGTGGTGGAAGAGCAGGACGAGGAGGAGGAGGAGGAGGAGGAGGAGGATGAGGGGGGAGGAGGAGGAGGAGGAGGAGGAGGAGGAGGAGGAGGAGGAGGAGGAGGAGGAGGAAGAGGGAGGAGGGAGGAGGGGGCGAAGCGGAGCGAAGCGAAGCGACGCGAGCGCCGGCGCCACGCGCGCTCCACAAGGGAGGCCGCCCGGTGCCTTGTGGGGCACGGCGTGGGGTCGTGGCCGCAGGACTGTGGCGCGTGGGCCGACTCGCGTGGACAGCCACCGCGCAGTGCTCCCGGCGGCTGTGATGCCAATCGCGAGCCGTTCGAGTTCAAGGTGTTCGTGCCGCTGTGGCCTGGTCGCTGCCCGGATGCGGTCCCGCCCGGCGCTGGCGTCGAAGCGTTTAGGGCGGGAGGGGGGGAGGTGGAGGGAGGAGGCGGGGGCCGGCATTTTGGGGCCAGGTGGGAGGGATTCTCGGGGCCGGGCGACAGTGGCAGCGGAAAACGGCCCAAGAATCATCCTTGGACAGGGGTCGCGTGCCCTGTGAGGGGGACTACTGGATTCGTCGAGTCGCCTGAAGCATGTGTGGATCGTGGGGGGCCCTGGACTAGGTCCAACAATTGGGTGCAGGTGGGAAATCGCCGAGTGACGGGATGGCGTGATGAGGCTTGCTTACACAGTTAGAAGGGTGGAGCAGCTGTAAATAACGAATTGTGAGCCAGCCTCCACTGCAGTCAAGCGCAGATAGACCGGTGCTCCAAAACAGAAAGCAATTCAGATCCAATCGCCGATCGTGAAACGAGAACCAATTCGAATCACCCAGCAAAGACAGCTTCGAATCAAATTGGCCCGAGTAGAAACACGGCCCGCACCTGATTGTGTGTCGCCTGGGCGGAGCAACATATGTCAGACAAGAGCAGACGCAGGTCATGCCTTGCAAGCAACTCCAAACAGCTCAGGCGCACACCCTCATCTTTGTCCTCCTCCTCCTCCTCCTCCTCCTCCTCCTCCTCCTCCCCAACCCCACTGCTGCCCCCACTTGGGGGGGGGCGGGGTACGTATGGGGGGGGGGATGGAGGGGAAGGTAGGATGAAAGAGCAGAGGGGATGAGCGGAAAGACGTGACCAGAGTTTTCGGACACCGGTGAAGACTGCCCACTCTGGGCACTCCCGATGCCGTCTGGCAGCCAGGCCCTCCGCGCTGCCCTGGCTGAAGGCTTCCTCTGCCACCGTTCCGTGGGCCTCTCGTCCTTGACGGCCCCTACCGTGGATCACTCGATGACGGAAGTCCTCAAAACAAAATATGTAACAATTGTTTTCACTCGATGACGGAAGTCCTCGTGCGCAAGGGCCCCGGACGCCCGAGTCACGGGTTGGCCTGGGCTCTCGCTCTTGTCGTCGCGTGACTTCTCGCGAGCGGCCTCCAAGTAGGGGGCCACATGCGAACTCTACCCCTATCCATCACGACTTCTGAGGGGGAGGGTGGGGTTCACTTCGCTCGGGAGCTCCTGAATGAAGTGAACCCCACCCTCCCCCTCAGAAGTCGTGGGGGGTAGGGGTAGGGTTCGCACGTGGCCCCCTACCAAGAGGCTCGGAAACGACGAGCACGGCAGACGAGACCACCACTGGACGGCCAGACAGAGCATCACAGCAGATCAGCATGGCGCCTCAGCACAGCAGACCAGAACAGCTGGAGGCGAAGATCGCTGGGAAGACGCTGCGGCCTCGCAACATCCCTCCTCGCTGCGCCGTGATCGCATCAGGGAGGCCACCTGTGCCCTTGCCCAAATCTGGGATCTAGGCACGGGGGCGGGATGGGCCGAAGGCCACCACATACGGAATCGACAGATCGATGACCCGCCCGCCCCCATACCTCCCTGAATCCGGAGGAGCAGCGGAGAGGAAGGGAGCAGGGACAGGAGGGGGGGGGCGGGGGGAGGAGAAGAGAGGCGGGGGGGAAGGGCTCCGGGTTGGCGGCGGGCGCCTCTGGCCCCACCCCCCTGCCCGAAGCAGCCTCTTAGTCTTGCGACGCCCAGCCAGCGAGGGGGGGTGGACGGTGCGGCGGCGAGGCGCCGCGAGGCGGCCAGACGCCAGGAAGTCCACCACGCTGCTCGCCGGCCTTGCGGCCGCATCGCTGCCTCGGGGGGGCGGGGTTCTCTCCCGCATCTCCCCCCCCTCCCTCCCTTCGAGCGGGCGGAGGGAGGAGGAGGAGGACGACGACAACGACGAGGTTGGGCTTGAAGTCCCAGCGCGCGCCTCGCTCGATCATCTTCGCGCTTCGCATTGCGAGGCCCGCGATCCCCCATTTCCATCCAGAAGGTGCGTGTCTGAGGGGCGAGGAGGGGTAGCCCGAGGAGGGGGGAGGGAGGAGGGCAAGATGGAAGAACGAAGTAGAAGGGGGGGGTGGAAGGGGGGGGGGGACACCATCGCGCCCACCACAAGGGATGACTCCCGAGCGGTGGGTCCAGTTCAAGAAAGAGCGCCCGCAGGGCGCTAGTGCGCCAGGGGGAGGAAAGGGGAAAAAGGGGGCCCCGCCTCCTCCCGCGGGTTGCAACGCCTGCGCGCCGAACGCCCACGCGCCGATGTGGAAGTGGGCGTATGCGGGCGGGCGCGGGTGACGACGCGACGGGGGGGCAGGGGCCAAGCAAAAAAATTAATCAGAACTGTCCTCATCCCCTCGGGAAGGGATCGCGCGGGGAAGCACCGCAGGGGAGGAGGAAGAGGCGCGATTACCTCCGCGCCCAGCCCCAGGACAGGCGGCGTCCGAAGACGCGGAAGCACGGTTATCAGGCGCGCCCTCGCAGCCGAGGAGGTTCGCGCCCGTCGTGGGATGGAGCCCACGCTCCCCTCTCCGAATACCCACGCGTTGATTCGCAAGGGTGGAGGCCACAAGACTCGGCCCCTTACAAGGCAGCACCAGGTTCCTGAAACGGGCGGGGACCCCATGGGCACATCACCGTCGACACACAAAAAAGGCCCAACCTTAAAGGGTCATGACCGAAGTCCCGCATGGGCCCCAGAGGATCACCGACGGGCACAGGGGGGCCCGCCTCCAGACACTCGAGGGCATCGGGGTCGGGGGCGAGCTTCGCTGCAGCATCACACTCAACGCTCACAGCTTCGCTCCGCACCACAACAAAAGAATACCCGCGCGCCAGGAACCACTCCGTGGTGGCCGTCCTCTGGAGAGCCGTGGGGTTACAATCTCGAGTCAACCTGTTCGTGAGGGGGGTCTTGAGGGAGGCGGGGGGTGCGAGCGAATCGGCCACAGTGCTTGCACCTCCACTCACCTCTGACCTCAGACCTCCAGAGACAGTGACGGGTGATCTGCGCTTTGGGGGCCGCATAACAAAACTCCGCCAAACGCAACTTCTCGGGCAGATCACCCGTCCACTCGCCGTTCTCAAGCAGCTCCAGGGAGGCCCAAGCTAAACATTTTAGCGCTGCTTTTTGGTATTTCAATTCCCCCGCCAGGGCCTTAGCTATTCCGTCCGAATAAGAATGGGGCGCCGCTCCTAGCATAGCGTAGACATTAGCCCACAGGTTGCCAGCCCAAAAACGCAGGCTCGACCCTTTTTTTCCATAGCCTCGTCTAGAGAGAGGTGAGCTGGCTGCCAGAAAAAAAAAACGCGGGGCTCTCTCACACATTAGGTATACAGCAGCCCAAATCGCAGCATGATTTGAACAGCCTCTGGCAGCCTCGGGACTCCAAGAGTTCCCTTCTCTCACCGTGGCCTGCAGATCAGACGCGATGAGTTCCGTGCTCGAATTCTAAAACAAAGCCTGCCGCACCGCCCACCTCTCGGCTCTCCCGATGGTCTGCCTGGGCCCTGGCTGGGCCCCATAGACGGCGCGGCCGGGCAGCAGGCACGGCGAAACCTGAACGGTTCCCCGCCCCGCTCGAGCGACTTCGGGGATCCTTGACTGCAGACAGCATCCGTCCACAAAGCTTTCAGGCGCCCCCAGACACCTTGCACATCACCCCACTCCAACACCGCAGGATCAGCTTTGGGGGCCTGAAGAGCACTGGCTTTGGACAAGGAAGGAAACCAACATGTTAAATAAGTGCAGTCGACCTGCGGCTGCGCAGTGACGTCCACAGCGGTGGCCGTCAGCGCAGCTCGGTGGCAACGGTGTGCCTCTGGGGCCATCTCACCATGCGGGTCGAGGTCGTCCTGCATGAGCCCCTGGCGCTGGTGCCAGACGCGGCCGTAGGTCCCGTTCGGGTGCAGACACACCCGACAATGAGGTGAGACACTGTATCCTTGCGCTGCCTTCGCAGCGGGGAGCGGGATGACGTTAGCCCACGCGGCTGCCAAGGCAGCTGACTGCCTTGGGGGCTTCATTGGCTTGACTCCATTTCTCAGCGCACGATGCCAAATCAGCTCGCTGCCGTCTGAAAGCCGAAACATGGGACAGGAGCCGCCTTTGCTGCCACCGCTGGAGGCCCTCTATGAGCGCGAGCTTCACGTCGCACAGGCTGATGGGCTCGCCAAGGTCCGTGACGGAGGCGTGGGCACTGCACATGTCCCAATCGATCCGTAAGAGAGCCAGCCACGTACATGGAAGTGGTCCTTTGGCATTCTGCCACGTCGGGTTGGTGCTCAACTTGGGCAGTAGAACTGCCCAGGCTCGCCGTAGTCTGCCAAGAGAGAAACGTGCGTCCCAGATCCACACTGCGTATCGCACCGTGCTGAGATACGCCGTCACTCCACCGTGCGGCTTGCCGCCAACCATGGTGGCTGCAAACTGCCTGAAATATCTGAGTGCCGTGCCCGAGACGCCTGCTGCGCCTGCTCCGCGTGCCGCAGCTGGCATGAATGCGCCCGCGCGGCCTCCACCTGCGACCCATCCAGGGCCCGGTCCTCCGCGACCCGCAATGCGCGTCGCATCGCGGGGCAGCTCGAGCCAAGAAGCAACGGGATCGACGCACGCGAGACTTGCCAGACTGTTCTGCCGAACAATCAGAGTCGTGCGCGTGTTTGGAGGAGGAGGAGGAGGAGGAGGAGGAGGAGGAGGTTATCGGGCGTCCTGCGGTGTCGGGCCCGCGCTTCGCACCCGCGGCGGCCGGCGCCCTCGCGCGGTTTCGTGGCCCCGTAAGGACCTGCGCTCGTTTGGTACCGTTTGTCTGGTACCGCCAGTCTGGTACGTGAGCCTGGTACCGCCAGTCTGGCACCGCCGGTCTGGTACCGCCAATCTGGCACCGACAGTCTGGTACCGCTAGTCTCGCACCGCTAGTCTCGCACCGCTAGTATGGTACCGCCAGTCTGGTACATTAGTCAAGTACCTTAGTCTGGTACCGCCAGTCTTGTACCGCCAATCTGGTACCGCTTGTCTGGTACCGCCAATATGGTACGTTAGTCTGGTACGCTAGTCTGGTACCGCCACTCCGATACGTTTGTCTGGTACATTTGTCTGGTACATTAGTCTGGTACGTTAGTCTGGTACCGCCAATCTGGGACGTTAGTCTGGTGCCGCCATGTCTGGTACCGCCATATCTGGTACCGCCATGTCTGGTACGGCCATGTCTGGTACCGCCAGGTCTGGTACCGCCAGTCTGGTACATCAGTGTGGTGCATTAGTCTGGTACCGCCAGTCTGGTACCGCCAGTCTGGCACCGCCAGTCTGGCACCGCCAGTCTGGTACCGCCAGTCTGGTGCGTTAGTCTGGTACGTTAGTCTGGCACATTAGTACGGCACACGAGTCTGGCACATTAGTCTGGTACCGCCAGTCTGGTACCGCCAGTATGGTACCGCCAATATGGTACCGCCAGTCTGGTACATTAGTCTGGTACCGCCAATATGGTACGTTAGTCTGGTACGTTAGTCTGGTACCGCCAATCCGATACGTTTGTTTAGCACATTTGTCTGGTACATTTGTCTGCTACATAAGTATGGTACATTAGTCTGGTACCGCCAATCTGGGACGTTAGTCTGGTGCCGCCATATCTGGTACCGCCGTATCTGGTACCGCCATGTCTGGTACCGCCATGTCTGGTACCGCCATGTCTGGTACCGCCAGTCTGGTACATTAGTCTGGTACATTTGTCTGGTACCGCCAGTCTGGTACCGTCAGTCTGGTACCGCCAATCTGGTACCGCCAGTCTGGTACCGCCAGTCTGGTACCGCCAGTCTGGTACCACCAGTCTGGTACCGCCAGTCTGGTACGTTAGTCTGGTACCGCCAGTCTGGTACATTAGTCTGGTACCGCCAATCTGGTACCGCCAATCTGGTACGTTAGTCTGGTACGTTTGTCTGGTACCGCCAATCCGACACGTTTGTCTGGTACATTAGTATGGTACATTAGTCTGGTACCGCCAATCTGGGACGTTAGTCTGGTGCCGCCATGTCTGGTACCGCCATATCTGGTACCGCCATGCCTGGTACCGCCATGCCTGGTACCAAGTACCGCCAATATGGTACCGCCATATCTGGTACCGCCATGTCTGGTACCGCCATGCCTGGTACCAAGTACCGCCAGTCTGGTACCGCCAGTCTGGTACATTAGTCTGGTGCATTAGTCTGGTAGATTAGTCTGGTACATTCGTCTGGTACATGAGTGGGGTACATGAGTCTGGTACATTCGTCTGGTACATTAGTCTGGTACATTAGCCTGGTACAGTAGTCTGGACCAGTAGTCTGGTACAGTAGTCTGGTACATCAGTCTGGTACATTGGTCTGGTAACACGCTTACGGTTAAGAACCCACTGCTTACGGTTAAGACCTCCTCTTGGGGGACGCATGCGCCCCCCCCACTGGGGTCTTCGGTGGGGCTTCCTATGGGCCACAAAACGCTGTGCTGGGCGCGGGGGGCGCATGCGCCCCCCCCACACTGGGGCCTTCGGTGGAGCTCCCTATGGGGCAACGAAGCGCTGCCCTGAGCGTGGGGGGCGCATGCCCCCCCCCCCACTGGGGCATTCGGTGGAGCTCCCTAGGAGGCCACGAAACGCTGCCCTGAGCGTGGGGGACGCATGCGCCCCCCCACTGGGGTATTCGGTGGAGCTCCCTATGGGGCCACAAAACGCTGTGCTGGGCGTGGGTGACGCATGCGGCCCCCCCACTGCGGCCTTCGGTGGAGCTCCCTATGGGGCCACGAAGCGCTGTGCTGGGCGTGGGTGACGCATGCGCCCCCCCCACTGGGGCCTTCGGTGGAGTTCCCTATGGGGCCACGAAACGAATCAGCCATGGCGATGCCGATGATGATGATAGTGATGGTGATGGTGATGGTGATGGTGATGATGGTGGTGGTGGTGATGATGATGATGATGATGATGATGATGGTGGGGGCAGGGGGTGCGCTGAGACATGCGGAGAGCAAAGGCAAGGATGGGGGAGGAGGGAGGAGGAGGAGAGGAGGGGGAAGGAGGAAGGAGGTGGGACGCGGGGCGCTGTCTCTTCAAAACGAATACTCGAGGGCCTGAGGCATCCGCTTCGTCGTCTGATGACGCGTCGGCGTCGGCTCCAGAGTCGAAATCGGACTCAGCGGGTTGCCCCGTTGAGCCTACAAGGGTAGTGGCTTGTGTAGGGGCCGCCGTTGCCAGCGGTCCCCGATACCTGGCTCAGGCCTCTTGCGACCCGCGCGGTGGTTTCCGATGGTTGTGGATCGTCATTCCAGACGTTCGTGGCAGGTTGCCATGCGTTAGCTTCAGCATGGAAGGTTCCGGCACGGTGACCGTGGCTGAAGATGCCACCAATAATGCCAGGAGTTCGCTCAGCGATGTGAGCATATGACCTCATGCTCTCAAGCAGAAAGTCAAATTGCTGCTGGTCCCTGGGCATGTGGCGGTTAAGTGGCTGTAGAAGTCGTTGTGCACGAGACGTCCCCAGTCTCGTGCACAACGACTTCTAGATGTTGTGCTCTGAACAGAATAACTGCTAGAATTTGGAAATTGGGGGCGTTGAAGCCTGCCGCTTCAGCCTCGTAGCGGGCTATCTCGAAGCGCGCCGATGTCTGGTCGATCCGCTCTCCCGCATGGACTCGGAAGTCGAAGAGAGCAGTACCCGAATTGAGTTGGTGCTCCTCTTCTAAATTCTCAAACTTCACGCTCAGGAGGAACGTAATGTAGGTGGCGCCATCAGTATGGCGGCCGCCTATGTTGACGCCAAAATTGATGACTGCTGGGGGGGCTCCCATGGCGCTGGTCCGTGCGAGGCCCCCCAGACCGCGCTGCAGTGCTGCAGCTTGTTGGGAGGGCGTGATAGTGTCTATGGTCACGTTGGTCCAAGCATGCACCTCGAACGAATTCGCGGAAAAGTACTTGACCGGCCGGGTCCCAGCGGGGGCCGGCTGTCCTCGCGTCGTCTCCGCCACGCGCGTGTCCCACAGCGCAACCGATAGCAACCCATAGGAGACCAAAGATAATAACACCAATAAAATGGCCCCGTAGGTCGCGGTCGGATGTGGTGGTTGGCTGAGGTTCGCGGCGTTTCGCTGTAAGCCTACGCGGGGGTGGAGGCGGCGCGCCATCGTATCGTACGTTGCCATGCACGGTATCTTCAGAAAAGTGTCCACTTGGAGTAGGCGGGTGGACTTCGGGAGTATAGTAGCGCAGGGATGTAGGACTCGAGTAAGGAGCCTCTGCGAGAACAGAGGTAGCACTGCAAGTGTCCTTGCGGTCGTGCGTAGCTATGCACATTCCTCCGCGCAGACCCACTCCACCCTGATGTTCCACCATCTCAGCAGTCCACCACAGCGTGCCGTGGGTAGTGAGGAGTAAAACAAGAGCTGACCACCATAAGCCAGCTCCGCCACCACGTTTAAAGGGGGCCAGTAAGCCCGACCAGAAGCTTCGCCTGAGGCGAAGCACAGCTCCAGCTCTGCTGTATCGTAGCAGCGATAGTCCCAGTCGTAGGATATCGTCGTGGGAGCGACGGGCCATCTCAAGCAAAGGATATTTTCGGTCTCGATGGCGAATCGCACACCTCGCACTGAGGTATAATCAGATATCGGCGGCCGGCCGCTCGAACCCAAACGGCCGCGGACACGCGCTCGTTACCTCTCGCCTGTAACCCAGCTCACTTTAGAATCCCAAGAAGCCCCCAAGAGACCCCCAAGAGGCCCCCAAGAGGCTCCCCTGAGGCACCCAAGATAATGCCACAATCATTGATTTTAGCAAGGTGTTGGCCACATTTTGGCCTCCCGGGGGGGGAGGGGGGCACTGATTATGATGGCTCCAAGAGCGCCTGGGCGAGCCCAAGATGACCTCCAAGATGGCTCAAGATACCGCAAGATGCCTCAAGATGGCTCCCACGATGCTCCAAGAGGCCCCAAGACCGCTTCAAGACGGCTCCAAGTGGCCAAAGAGCTCCCCGAGGAGGCCCGAAGAGGCCAAACATCCGTCCAAAACATTGCGAAACTCAGTGTGTTTGGCTTTCTCGCCTTTTCGCTTCCGATGGCCATCCGAGGCCTCAGGATGGCTGCAAGATGGCCCAAGAGGGCTCCGCGAACGCTCCCAAGCCTCCCAGTTCCGTGATCGAGGCAAATCCTCTGGGCATCGTTTCTGGATGGGCTGGTGGGGTTACTTTTTTGGTTCGCGGCTCCAAGGCAAGGGACAGGGAGCGGGCACAACGTCCGGGGCGCGGTGCGGTGTAAATTGGCCGCAGTGGCGCATGCACATGCCAGGGACAAAATGCCCCTCATTGAGACGCAAGACAGCGTCGGCAGGTGACCGGCCCAGACATCCCGGCACGTGGGGAAGCAAAGGCGCGGCGACCGGCAGCGGAACGGGGGGGAGAAGTCGCCCTTGCGGCGCCAAGCTCCAGCCGAACCACATTGGAAGCGAGGCCAAGACGCACAGCGGGGCACTGTAAAGCCGCAGGCAGAAGACGGGTCCGAATGGCCAATGACCAAGCGAAGCCCACGTGCGTGCACACAGGGACAGGCCGTCCAAGACCTCGGAAAAAAGAGGGAGGAGAGAGCGAACGCGAGCGACGAACTCAGACTCACTGCAACACCTCGGGAAAACGATGGCGCGGCGAAAGAAGCCTGACTCATCAAGGCTCACTGAAACTGGGGAGTGGCTGATCCGCGTCGGAGCGCCATCCAATAGAGGAAGACCACTGGTGTGCGCTCACGAGGCTGAGCCACCTCCAGCCGGTAGCCAGCGCGCGCACATCTATCCGACTCACGCAGTTCGGGGGCACAACGATGCAAAGTACTGACGGGGGCTGGCAGCTGGGGCTGCTCTGAAAGGAGAACGACCACGAACTGCAGAAGGCTGAACCACTCAATGCAGGGCCACTCACTTGACGAAGCCAAACACCGGGTGTCACCGAGTGTATGGCTGACAGCCGCACCCACTCCACACCTGCCACGCTGCCCGTGCGGAAGCCGAATACACCGACGCTGGTGGCGAACCGATGGCTGGCGGCTACCGAGCTGCTGGACCGCGCCGCTCGTAGGCGGCGTGCTGACGGCGGGCCAAAAAGTCCTTGTGGTAGAACCATGGCAGGGTCGGCGACGAACCAGGGCGGGTCTCAGGCAAAAGGGGGGCGCAGCCAAAAGCCGCTGAGCACCGGTGTCAGTGAGGGGTGGCGGGGCACCATCCAATAAGAGACCACTGGTGCGCGTGCACGAGGCTGGCAACCACCAGCAAGTAACCGGTGCACTTACATCGTATCCGACTCACGCGGTTCGGGGGCACAACGATGCAATGTATTGGCGAGGGCTGGGGCTGTGGCTGCGCCGAGAAAGTCAAAACGAACTAGGACCGCGGAAGGCTGAACCACTCGATGCGGGGCCGCTCACTTGACGAAGCCAATCACCATGTGTATGGTGGACAGCCACACCCACTCAACACCTGCCACGCTGTCCATGCAGAAGCCAAATGCGTCCGAAGCCAAGGCATACAGGTGGCTGGCAGCTGCCGAGCTGCTGGGCTGTACCGTTTGCTGGCGGCGCGCTGACGTGCCAAGGCGTCCTCGTAGTAGAACCATGGTTGGGTCGGCGACGAGGGACCGATACTCCCTGGGCAGGTCTCAGGGCGGACGCTCTTCTGCGGCCGATGCGACCTACGGTGTTGATCAGGGGGGGGGCGCAGCCAAAAGCCGCAGAGACGTTGTGAATGAGAGGAAGAGAAGGAGGGGGCGCAGCCCAAAGCCGCTGGTCACACATAAAGATACCCAGGGCATCCATGCACAGAACTTCTTGACCACGGGAGGGTGGGGCTGAATGTCGGTCACCAACCACTGCCGTTCACTGTGCTGTGAAGACCACTGGTGTGCGTGCACGAGGCTGGCAACCACCAGCAAGTAGCCGGTCCACTTACATCGTATCCGACTCACGCAGTTTGAGGGCGCAACGATGCAATGTCCAGGCGAGAGCTGGGGCTGTGGGTGCGCCGAGAAGAGCGAAACGAACGTGGACCGCGGAAGGCTGAACCACTCGATGCGGGGCCGCTCTCTTGACGAAGCCAACCACCATGTGTATGGTGGACAGCCACACCCACTCAACACCTCCACGCTGCCCATGCAGAAGCCGGATGCGTCCGAAGCCACGGCGTACAGGTGGCTGGCAGCTGCCGAGCTGCTGGGCTGTACCGTTCGCTGGCGGCGCGCTGACGTGCCAAGGCGTCCTCGTAGTAAAACCATGGCTGGGTCGGCGACGAGGGACCGATACTCCCTGGGCAGGTCTCAGGGCGGACGCTCTTCTGCGTCCGATGCAATCTTCGCTGTTGATTGGGGGGGGCGCAGCCAAAAACCGCAGACTGGTGGGGTCACTTTTTTTTTACAGCCGCAGGCGGAAGCGCCGGCGGCGAGCAGTCACGGTCGGGCTGCGGCCGCGACTAAATTCCCGGGCGCGCGCGGGGGCCGCGGATCAGGCGGCAGGGGGGGCAGCAACCCAGGGCGTTTGAAAGGCCAGGCGGTCGTGCAAACCGCAACCCAGGGAGTCTGAGGGGTCAGTCACCCGAGGCGGTCGTGCAAGCTGCAACCCAGGGAATCTGAGGGGTCAGTCACCCAGGGGCAAGCCAAGCGCGGCCAAAATGGCGCGCAGAACGTTCCCAGTCGTGGTCGTGCCGGGACAACCGCGTGGTGGTGGGAACCAAACTCCGTGCGAGAAAGTCAGTCCAGGGAGTCTGACGGGTATGAGCAAACCGAAACTGGCAGACGTCGTCCAGCAAGGAGGGGGATTCTGACAGCGCCAGCGAACCAGTATTTTTTGTTATATATATATATATATATATATATGAATATATTTATATATATGTATATATATACATATATATAACATAACCTCTGTTCTAGGGGCTGCTTACGAAGGCCTTGCCACGGGCTTGCAGTCTGGTGCCTCACAAGACACGAAGTAGTTGGACGACATGGCTGTTGAATTGCTTTGCCGTCTCACTGATGGCGATGTCGTGCTCTCGGGATTGCAAGAGCAGCCGTCACTGGGGGCCCCCGCCTTGGAGTTAGCCTCTCGGCTGATGGCAAGCAAGCAAGCAAAGGTCCGATCGGACGCCACAAAACGTCGCGCCCCACAGGTGAGGACGACGGAACTTTAAAACTGGCCTGCCATGGCGAGCGACGCTGGCAACGAAAAACAGGATGGTTGGGAACAATTAACGGATTAAAGCAGTTATTGTAGGAACGGCTGGCGGGCCCCTGCCCCTCACGTCACACATGCAACAAATCACAATGACAGCCTCGGTGCCCGACGTCCCCTGCGGACGAAGACGACGTCCTCCAGCATCAACAAGATCCCTTGAGCAATGGCCACTCCGCCATCGTCACCCTCTGGTGGGTCTTCGAATGATGGAAATTTGAACTTTGCGTTCGCCGATACTTCGAGGACTCTCGGGCCCATGTGAGGCAGCTTGAGGCGGATTCGGAATGGCTGTGCATCCAGAACATCACCCTGCACAAGGTCTACATCACGAGCATCAAGCAGATCGTTGTAGGCCGTGTCCGCCCAACCCATAAAGTCGGCACGATTAATGACCCACTGCAGCAGCTTTGGGCCCTCGCATATGGGTCCACACAAACTCAAGAAATCGGGTGAGCACCGCAGCACGGGCATACCAGAACTCTCTGCGTCAATGAGAACAGCCATCTCAGTGCACGAGGGGTCGATCAGCAGACCAGAGGAATCAGACGTCGAGATACTGATACAACTCTCTGGGATGCCTGCGAAAGTGCTTGAATTCTGTGACTCTGGGCTGCAGCATAACACCCCTGGACGCGCCGCCCGCGGCTCTTCCGAATCTTCCTTCACACCTACGATGTGGATCAACTCGTCGTGTATGTCAACGCCCCGGGCGTGAAAGAGCTCAACT